AAAACAGATGCCTGACGTTTCATTGATTTTTCTTTGCTGCTGTAGGTTGTGAACAATAAGTGAGAATCAGGTACAACATAAGTGAAGGTCCAGAGAGTACATTCGAGAAACTTGCAAAATGAAGCAAATTAAATACAACAAATTTATCAAGCTCGCAAACCTGCAAAGAAAATTTCTACTATCCATCATGACCCTTCTTTGGGAACCATACATTGACTTAAACTCTGTTTGAAACCTCACGTTCCACTTTTCCTTCTCCCTCCTTCCTTTTCATTTCCGTTGCAGTTTTTCTTTTCCATCATCTTTCTCCTTATTATCCACATCTCCTTTCTCTTCCTGCCCCATCTGTTCCCTCTTCTACTCCTTTCTATTCTCTTACAGCTTCTTGTCTTCATCCTCCTTCGATTCCTTCTCCTATACTTTTTTCTTCCTTCTCTTCTTATTAAGATTGCGTAGGCCATTTTTAAAGAGCTTCTTCTTGGTTTCCACGTCAGCGATTCTCACGGGACGATGTCCAAACTGTCTTGCGATGTTGTTTGCAGATTTCCCTTTCATATGCACAGAAGATTATTCTCCCATTTGAGCGTCTGGTTACTTCTGCCGAACGATCTTTGATTGGTACTCCATAGTTTGTAGCTGAGGGTGCCAACAACAAGATGATGATTGGTTGACAGCTCTGTGTCTTCCTCAAAGCTAACGTCGATTACAGATCATTTCCAGTCAGAGTATATCAATAACTTGATCATCGACTTCTGTGCACAAGTCTCCCAATACCAGGTATATTGATGTACTTTTTGACACTCGAAGGTGTCCATAACAGACATTTACATATTTGCATAGAAGCAGGACAATTTTGTCATTATTGCTAACATTTTTACGGTCGTTCCTCTCAATCATGCCTTTCCACTTTACAGTATCTTTAGGTATTGAAATCATCCATCAGAATGATGGATTTCGTAGCAGGCACTTCGTACAGGAAGGATTCATATTCCCTCTTTGATTTGGACATTCGGGCTTGCAATGAAGTCAAAACGTTCGTCCCTTGCAACCTAAATTGAATACCGTTCCCGTGATAGGTTTCTATTCACTGATTTAGTCAGCCATGCTCAATTATACCAGAATACCGCACCGGCCTGAGTGCGGGTCGAAGAATCAACATCGGAAGCTTCCACCCGCCTAGGTTCAGATTTCTAGAGCCTTGGAGTCTTGGTGTATGAGAGTCCAAGCATGTCCAGTTGATATCCTCTGGTCTCATCAACTAATTATTGATGTTTCCTTCTGAGTGAGGAAATATTCCAATTTCCGACTGTGAGCTCCCACTGTC